GAAAAGTCCAAACAATTAAAAACACATACTGGAAAACTGCTTTTATTAGTCCACCACTGTATTTCTAAATTCTTTCTGCGAAATATATTAAATGTTTTTTTTTCATCAAAATTAGAGGGTATATACAAGTTTTTTAATGCAGGTAAACTCACTTAAAAGGGTTCCTTTCCTATTGCCAGTAGAAATTAGTGCATTCACCCAGGTGTCATGTAAAAACTACTACAAATTAATTTGACCTGAGTGTGAACGTCAAATGTATCCATTCACATTGTACACAGTGGTTGAATTGACCAAACAAGCATTCTCAATACTGTAAACTCCCTGATAAATACTTTCATACTCCTGACAAGCTAAATCTTGAGCTTCTCCCCACTTGCTAACACTTATTCTTGAGCCACTTTAACTATAAATGCCACATGAGCAGGCATGTTTTCTAAATGGCCTTTTGCTAAACATGAATGCATATACACTCTGACCAAACAATAAGGCAATCTAAATAAATCCAGTATACCAGCTCAGTCACATATTATTATACAACTACATATTTAATAGTGCGTTTGTAGTTAGTGGTGGTGTTTTAATGGACTGCATTGTATTGACATGTGCATCTCATATTCTTTCCCTCTCATGTTGTAAATGGGGCGGGCAAACAATAAAGATTCCTCTCAATGTAATGCACTCCAGTTCAGCTCCACTGCAAACTACAATTTAAATGATAAACAGTTAAAGTACCTCTGACAGTGTGAATCAAATCTGAACATCATCATATTTGTAACGGCAGACTTCATGGCTTTGCTGATGTATTCGATCACGTTTTACATGTGTGCCTAATAAAGTACCCACAAAGCATAAATCAGCTCAGGCTGAAAAGTAAACAGTTTTTATTTCCTAATAACTTTTTTAAAGACAGAATTAAAACTATGGTTTCCGAGTAAGCCAGGCTATACTTTTCTGTAACAGATGAGATTTCTGAGAGTGTTTTTTCTCATTCAGCCCATCATTTAAATTAGTCTTGTCACTCATCTTATTACTTGTCTTTTTAAACAAGACAAAAAAATTGTGACTCTACATTTTTTGAATAACACTGGCTGATGACTGTCTCGTATGAATTGGATGTATATTTCCTTAATCAGCCTCTAAACAACAAGCCTGTTGGAAGTATTCCACAGACCACACTGCTGTGGCTCTAACAGGCTTATCCTTCATCCCTCTGGGTCCTCAGTTGGCTGAGTGACACAGGAGCTGAAGCATGCCTGAAGATGGGACCTACTGATAAGGCACTGTTATATACAGCCTCTGGCTCTGGCCTTGGGCATCCTAGAGGCAAATGGGCTGTAACCAATGACCCACTTGGGCTCCAACATTTTCCTTTTTTCATCTAAGCAGTCAAGAGTGCTTTGTTGTTGTTGTTGTGTGATAAATTGCCCTTTACATGTTAATCCAAAGAGACAGCCACAAGCTCAATTTAATCTACTGTTACATAAAAATCCAATGTTTAGAGCCAAGACATTAAATTTGTGACTTATTGTGTCATTTGTTAGGTTTTTTTGGATTCAGGAGTTCCCACTTCTCCAGCAAACATGCAGGGACAGGCAGCTTCATATCAAGGCCCGGGTATAGTTGTCAGCTCTGCAGTCACAAGCTAAGAACCAGATTTAATCTACAGAACAACACACTCTCTGCCAAATACCACAGAAGTCTGCACAAAATCATAAGTTAACTCTGTATCTGTGAGTGTGCACACAGTATTCAACACTGAGATAAACATCTATACACAAAGCCACAACTGGCAGAAACAGGAAGTTTCCAAAGTTTAAAAAATGAATTCCACCATGGCAATGACCGAATGAGACAAGGCAAACAGAAACACGAGATGTGTTTCTTCTTGACAATGAAAAACTCACAACAGGCATCTTTGTCTCAGATTAACATCCCTGCCTGAGCCAGGGCCATCTGTGTTATGCTAGCAGCCTGGCACAGAAACAGAAACGTGGGGGAGATGGGTATGGGAGGAAAGGGGCAGTGTTACGAGACAGCGAGGGCAGGGGGGGAAGGAGGAATAAACATGGAACCAGATTAAAATTTCTAGGCAAGAAAGGCATGTGACCACTTGAAGCAGGGAAAACAGTGGAAAATCACAGTCATATCTCTTTTGAGCTCATCTGTCTTAGCCAATTTTCTAACCACACTTTAGTGAGCGATGCAGAGCTGGCATTAACTACATGCAACACTGAAGAGTAAACATGCACTATAAAAATTGTAAAAGTTGTTTTAACTGTTTTAAGTTTTACAAACGTAATTAATTTTCATTAAGTTTAAATGTACTCACACATCAGTGATTCTGCAAACTCATTTATAGACTTTAGCTCTGACAGACTTTCTGTGAAAGAAAAGTCCTGGAATTCACTTGAAATGCATTGCAAGCTTCACTACGTGGGGGTTTACTAAGTCCTGGTTGATTCACCAACAAATCTGTGCTCACGTCCAATTTCCTGTAGCTATTTTAATACTAATTGTTTCTATTGTATCTTGCTGTACTCCATTTATGTTTTTATCTCACTATTTCAGTTTATTTTATATTTTGTTGCAAATTAGCATCTGCTGAAAACACTATGATACTACCATCAGAGCACCTATGGGTGTGTTGCTCTTAAAGCGAGGTGTGGTCAGGTGCATTGTTGATGCTCACATCTTGAGTGAGTGAAAAGTGAATGCACAATCGACCAACAAAATACAAGTCTAAAGTCAGTGGCACAGAACATCACTGTTACTCACTTACAATCCTAGGATTATTGCATATTATGCCCAAAATACAGAAATTATTAATCAAAAGACCAAGTACTTCTTGAACCATTCACAGGTGCAGCAACATTTTCCACTTTTCAACTAGAAAAAGTTGAATTGGACAAGCTCTAAATGGGGTTAGTTAAAACAGAGTGCCCTTGTCTGAACCAATTCTGCACAACCCTATTGACGGTTTAAATTATTACTCCTCGTCATTACCGGTTGAATAGTTTATCTTTATAGAAGCAGGAATCGACCTGAGATCAAGGTTCTGGTCATTTTAAAGATTTTCCACCTTATTGACTCAATCACAGAGTCTCAACCTGTGGTTTTGATCTGCTCAGTAAACTGACCCAAGGAGAGCTCTAATGTAACATATTGATCATCGCAGTCTTATTATTTATCAATTTTAACAGTATTGTAGAAGTAAACTTTAAGCTCAAAAATACAAAACTTTGCATGAGAGAGCACCTAGATGAGAAGCATGGCTGCGAGGAAGACCCATTTGTACAGAGACCAACAGGGATTAGTGATTGACCACTAGAGGGAGCTTCAATGTGTCCCTGGGAGAAAATAAAACACAGTAAATTGTTTCCTGTTCCACATCCGATCAGCTGCTGAGTCCAATTGCAGCTCATTGTCAAGTTGAGGGAGCTGTGGGATTGCTCACTGCTACAATCAGTCTGAATGACATCATCATCCAAATGAAGTCATGGGGTGGCTCTCAGCGCTGCTGTAGCTTTACTCATTTCTAGCCAATGGCATGTTATCTTTTCAGTTCCTCAGCGACATGCGTCACTGCATTGTTATACTGAACAGGTTTAGTTCTTTTCCATGCATCAAGGACTCTGCATTATTTGGTCTCTCAGGTTACTGACTCAGCATGTTTTCAGGATCCTAAGCAAAGTATTCACCCAGGCCACAGGGCAGCCACACGCTTCCCAGCAGGCTACAACACACTTCAGCTGCTTCCTGTCTGCCTACCTCCTGTTGCACAGAGGGAGGGATGCAAGGGAGAAGCACTGCTCTTAACATGCACACACATTCGTTGCGACAGAGCACACTCCCCCCTGCACAGTCTCCTCCACTAACTGTAATCAGACTCATCGTATTATCAGCTGGCCATTCGACGCTACAGAAAAATGATGGTTGAATGTAAAATGAATCTTTAACCAATTTAATCTGAATGATGAAAGAATAACAAATCACAGTAAAGGTCTTCTTTCAGTGAGGGGGCCAGTCATGCTTATTGTAGTCCCCCTTAAGCCTCCTGGGAGAGAGAGGGAGTGAAAGATAATTCCTGTTGCAGTCTCCAAAGGACGGAAATAATTAGTTAATACCTTTGCACAGTCTAAGCTGGTGATTTTCTTCTGTCTGTGTAATGCAAGACAAGATAGACTCTCCTTGTGTATTTGAAAACTGCTGATCACTTTACTTCAGGGGAGGTGTGCACCTCTACGTCAGCAGCCAGTGCTTGTCAATCACTTTTCCTGTGTAAACCCATTTAAAATTTAGTGGTAACCCATTTGCAACTTAGCGGACTCCCCTCATGAGACGCTGGCTGATTGACAGCTCCCTGAAGACATCACCATTATACTGTCATGATGTGTGAACCTTCACCGACAGAGTACTAAGAGAAGGAGCTTCCTGTGAGAGTAAAGCATTCCTTATGCCTAATATAAATCACTGATGACTGAAAAACAACTTACAAGTATTTCTTGTTGAGAAAGAAAAGGTGGTTGTTACTTCCACCAAGGTTATGTTGTTATTATCTTAAAGATTATGCAAAAACCACTGGACAGATGAAATTAAATGGTATGGGCAGGAAAGAACCCTTTGAATTTTGTAAAATCACAATTTTGTTGATGACTAGACATGGATCTCGATAAAGGAAAAAAAAATCCAATTTTTAGGAGTGTGGAAAATTTGGTGCAGAGGCCAATAAAAAATCCAGATCTCTTGAATTTAAATGTGGTTTCACAGGGGGACTGTTGGGCCTTGGCGGCGGTAAGCAAGTGCCCTTTTAGTTTTAAATATTTCAATATTTCTCAATCAAAATGACACTGTTGTTTAAAAACGTCTCCCATGTCCCATTTATACGTATAAGAAAAAAACAGCCTTTTCGAAACTACACGTGACTGCTGCATTTACGCTCAACTGGAACGGTGCTTGGGTGTCCCAGAGGGATGGACTGTAAATCAGCTGAAATACTTTACCTGCAGCTCACACCAGGCAACCTCCACCCAGGTCTCTGTATCCAGGCCCTTGTAGACAGTCTTGAAGGAGCCTCTCCCCAGTTCAATGTCAAACTTGAGGAACCTTCCTCCTGGAGATGTGGAGACTGCCTTCATCTCCGCCTCCTCCTCTGTCTCCTCACTGGAGGCCTTGATAGCGGATTTAGCACCATTGCTGCAAATGACATTTAACACATCTCCACCTTTTTCCTTCTCCTCATCAGCACTGGCGCTCTCCGTTGCAATGTCTTTCTGCCTGCCTTGGCTCTCAGTGCCAGACCCCTCCTGTATCCCGCAAGTAGTCCCCCGATTCCTGTCCACTATTGTTCGCAGGTTTATATTTAGGATTTTACTCCTGTTGTCACATTCGGGTGCTTCGAAGGTCTGCTCGTCCATGTCAGAGAACCACAGGCTTCTCCTGATGAATCTCTGATGCACATTCCTCTGGTAGCTGGACGAGGAAGGGTATGCACTGGGGTCGCTGCCTCCTCTCACCACCGGGTCCACCAGGTTGATATTCCCGTCGCCCATGGTCAATTCACACTGAGAGTTGGACACCGATGGATATTTCAGTTCTTGGTGGGCCTCGGAGTTTGAATTAGCCTCCAGCTCCATTGTGATTTTGAAGGTTGGTTCACTTTGGTTTCCAGGTCATTCGTGCCATGGCTTGACTTCCCAGCATGAAGACTCAGAGGTGGATACCTGCAGTGCCCACTCGGTGACGCAGTTCTCCGGTGGAGGCCCCTAACGACACCGGGATGGATGGTGAGATCTCATCCGATGTGAGGAGCTGGGAGAGAAACACCGACAGTCAGAGAAACAAACACATCACCTGTTAATCAAAGATGGTGTTGAAGCCAGCTGGGGTTAAACAGGCGTCCGCCATTAAGCAGTGAAAGTTAGTTGGTGGGAATAAAAGCAGGTGAATGAGAAAAAAAAAACAACACCACGAGTTGAATTGTTTAACCGTTCACTAGCAAACACAAGTTCACGTTTCCAAACTTCACTCTGCTTGATTTACACTGAAATGAACCAGACTTCAAACACTCGAGCAGCGGTGTCATGTCCATGAGGAGGGGGAGGGGAGGGGAGGGGGACTCACCTGGGGGCGAGGAAGGCTCGGCTAAAGTCCCGCTAGCGAAACCACGGTGAACCTGCCAGCTCCGGAGAACCGCACGCTAACGTTAGCAAGCCGAGCGTCCACGACAAAAGGCGGACTTTAAAAACGCCCTATCTGCGCATTATCCTCCTGTTACCAGCCGGACGACCGCAAACATACCCAGCTTCAAGTGGCCGCTTTAACTGTGAAAAACACGCAGCATAGTGACGATTAAAAAGCAAAATGACGACCACGTTTTAGGTTTTATTTATCCCCCTCCCTTCCCCCGAGTCCTCTCATCCCGGTGTTGCCGAGTGTCTCGGCTCTCCCTCCCCGTCGTGGCTGCTGCTGTATCTGCGGAGGGTGTAGTTTGAGAGCCGGGCCGCTGCAAGTGGAGCCCGCCGAGGATTCCTCTGTTCTCCGCCGTCGTCCCCTCGGAAATTAATTAATAAACGTGTGCAACTGTTTTCTCCTGTCACCGTGTCTCTGTCTCTGCCTCCGTTAGGTTAATACACCGGTGAGAGCCGCGCTAATGTGTCCACCATTCAGCCCCGATCGACTCCACGCCCCTGGTAACGACCGGAGGATCATCCAATCACACAGCTCCGAGAGGCTGCACACACACACACACACACACACACACACA